TTCCTTCTCATCCAGGTGGGAATAAACAGTGGTGGCCGGCCCAACGTGGTTCTGAGATCACCCAACTAGGAGCTCTAAAGGGAGCTTTAGAGGTTCTGAATGACCTCGTTAGGTGATCACAAGAAACTCATGGTCCCCTCTGGGCCTCAGTTGTCCCCTCTGTAAAATGAGATGGTGGCACTTTCCTGTGTGCATTATTGTTTTCACAGCAGAAGAAAAATTCAAATGGAAAGGAAGACAGTGAAGCAGTTCGTCTCACAGGGTCAGAGTCTGGAAACCTGTGAGTTGGGGTCCAGCTTGGTTTTGTTAGCATGAGGATTGGGGTGAGCTGCCCCACTTAGCAGGCCCCAGCCTTTCTGTCATCTACCAGTAAGGTAAGGATGCCAATCTGGCCAAGTTACTGAGGCAGGGGAAGTAAATGTGCACCTGGCCACCCTGCCTCAGTGATGACAGTTTGTTTGCGATCTTGTTGAAGCTTGGGGGATAAGGAGGCGGCCTCAGTCCCCATTGCTGCCACTCTTCAGGAGGGGATCTGATGACACTGATGTTGATGGTAGATTTATGTAATTCCCACATGTCTCAAAATTTCCCCTGGAATAATTGTTTTAGGAAATACTTAACTCACCAAGATTTTTATGAACTGTTCCTTCTCTAAGTCCTAATCATTTGATTGTTAGCTGAATATTTATTGAAAGTCTATTTGCCTTCCCAACACAGGACCGGCACTAGACAATTGATAAAAACCAACCAACCTACCCAGAAGCTATTCCTGCTCTGTAGATCTCACAAGATGGGGGAAGGATGATGTCTGCAAATTGGCTAGGTTAGCCAGGTGCCAGTGGCTCATGCCTATAATCCTAGCTACTCAGGAGGCAGAGATCTGAGGATTGCAGTTCGATGCTGGCTGGGGCAAAAAGTCTATGAGATGCTTATCACCAATAAACTACTCAGAAAAAGCTGGAAGTGATGCTGTGGCTCAAGTGGTAGAGTGCTAGCCTTGAGCATAAAGAAGCTCAGGGACAGTGCCCCTGGATGGGTTAAAAAAAAGAAAGAGTCTGGGTGAAGGAGAGAATAGAGTCTTCAGAACATAGGAAATGGCCTGTGCAAAGCCCCTGAAGCAGGGTGCACATGGCCCCCGTAAACTGCTAGGCTGCAGGACTATGGAGTAGGAGACAGGGGAGTCTAGCCTTTATGCTGAGAAAATCAGAGCCTTTGGAGGTCTGACAGCAGAGAAGGACATATACTGTGAGGTAGGATTCAGTTAGCTTCTCTGGATGCCATTGGAGAAGATTCTAGTGGCCAAAGCGGAACAGAGAGATCTGTTAGGATAAAACTATGCGAGTGGGGCTGGGAAGGTGGCTCAGTGGTAGAGCGCTTGCCTTGCATGCCTCAGCATGCAAGTTCGATTCCTCAGCACCACATAAGCAAAAAGAAAAAAGCCAGAAGTGGCACTGTGGCTCAAGTGGTAGAGCGCTAGCCTTGAGCTGAAGAGCTGAGGGACAGCGTCCAGGCCCAGAGTTCAGGCCCACGACTGGACCAAAAAAAAAAAAACTATGCGAGTGCCCAGAGCAGAATATACTGATGGACCTTGTGTGTGTGTGTTTGAAATGGAGAGAAATAGCTGTACTTGGAAAATCCTTTGGAGTCTGCTCCGTAAGATTTGGAGGTGACAAGTGCAGCCCCTGGCTGCCTGGCCTCCTGACTGGCTTACCTAGGTGCACAGTGGAGCCTGTCACTGAGCTAGGGGAGAATTCCTGTCTCCTCTCCTGAGTACTTCAGATCCCTACTGGTCATTGGTTATAAGACAAAGACCCTCTGAATGTATTCTGGGTTCCTCGCCTTTTCTAGGTGGCCACAGAATGTTTAGCACAGCAGCTGGTACTCAATGAACACAGCCACTTGCTGTCCGTGCCCCCCCCTCCCCCGCAAATGACAATGCTGTGCCTCTACCCATCCACTGCAACCTGTCCGAAGCTTTGGGCTCTGGGCTCTGGAGCGTCATGACTCCCTTTCTTCTTTGGGAGCCATATGAAATTCCCTTTAAGGTGGGGAGACTTTATGTTTCCATCTTTATCTCATCATGAATGCCAAGCAGGAAGAAAGAGAGAAAGGAAGAGGGGCTTGTCTGAGACTGCTTTTATGATTGATAGCAGGTGCCTTTGGAGTGAAGTCAGTGGGTGAATGGGGCTGGCCCCGCTCTAAACTAGCTGTGTGACCAGTTATTTTGAGTCTAGAGTCCGTTTCCTGCTCTAGATCTTAGTTTGCCCAACTGTAAAATGGAGCTGGAGCATTGACTGAAGTTTGACTTTGCTCAAAGGAGCTCAGGCTAGAGGCTGGGCCTGCTTTCTTCCTAAGTGCAGGGGCTTTGTCTCCACAGCCCACCCAGCTGATTTTCAGACTTGTGGCAGCAAACCATTCCATACTTAGACCCTTCCACCTTCCTTTTCCTGAGTCCCCCCCACCTTTTTTTTTTTTTTTTTTGGTTGGTTATGGGGCTTGAACTCTGGGCCTGGGTGCTATCTCTCAGCTCTTCTCTTCAGCTCAAGGTAAGCATTCTACCACTTGAACCACAGCTCCACTTCTGGATTTCTTGTGGTTAATTGGAGATGAGAGTCTCACGGACTTTCCTGCCTGGGCTGGCTTTGAACTACGATCCTCAGATATCAGTCTCTTAAGTAGCTAGGATTACAGGCGTGAGCTACCTGCGCTCAGCTTTTCCTGGGTTCTTAAATCCTAGGTTCTTGCTGGTCTGGTTTTTCCTTCTTCTGACTGTGCTGAAATCAGGAAATTCCCTTCTTTACACCTCTCCTGTGGAGAATGCAGCTGGAATCTAGTCTCCCAGGAAGTCTTCCCCTTGACCCACCCCCACTTCCCAAGGTCTCCTTAGTCCTCACTGGCAAGTGTCCTTGTATGGTTGCTGGCTCAACACAGTGCTAACTTCTTGTATTCTTCTCCCCAGGGCTTTTCACTGTGTAATGGAGAAAAGATTAGAGACCATTAACCAGAGAAGCCCCCAAGACATTCTTTCTTGCACACAATCCCTAGGTAAGAGCCTGGGAAAGCCAGAACTCACATTCCCAGGAAGGTCCCCAGCTGATGCTCATAGATTTCTATGCTATGGCTCTGTTGATCTCCAGAAAATGGGGCCACCCAGCCATTTTCCCCAACTTCTGGCCCAGACTCTTGAGTTATGCCCCCACATCCAGTCCCCTTCTTCCTAACAAAGGCTTCCTCAGTAGAAAAAAAAAAAAAGCCTGGACACATAATACTTGCCAACAAAAGCAAGCATTGTCGCCCCAGGGAAGGAGGTGGGGGCAGGGAAGCAGGGTGAGGCCTGGCTTTCTGTTTGCCAGACTTTCTGCAGGGTCGGCCCCAGCCCTGGGCTCATGACTCAGAGGCTGAGGGCCCAGCTGTACTCTGTCCTTCTTGACTTGCTCTGCTGGATGCAGGATGGATCCAAGGCCCCTGAGTTTTTAAAGGGAGTTTTCGCTGTGAGGACCTCTCAGCAGGAATCCTAATCTCACGTGTTGCATCCTACAGCTTGGAAGATAGATACCCTGAGAAAGGGAATTATTATCTTGCAGTCATTTGGTGGGTTTCTAGACAGCCAGAGCAGAATGGCTCCACCTGCCTTTATTCCTGCATTATCAGTTTCCCCACAGAGCACCTTCCCTGGTTCTTGACTGCATAGATCTTTTTTTTGGGGGGGGGTGTGGAACAGTACTGGAGTTTGAACTCAGGGTCTCATACTTGCTAGGCAGATGGTCTACCAGTTGAGCCACACCCACAGACTTTCTAACTTTCATTATTTTTGAGACAAGATCTCCCATTTTGTTCTGGATAGTTGGAACCTAGCTCTATCCCCCTATTTACACTTCCTGCCCAGCTGGGACAACTGTGTCCCACCTTGCTTAGCTTTATTGGTTCAGATAGGGTCTTGCAAATTATTTGCCCAGGCTATCCTTGAACTGCGATCTTCCTGATCTCTGCTTCCCAAACAGCTCTTATTACAGAGGTGAGCCATCATACTCAGCAACCTCACAGATCTTAAAGAACCAGAACGAGTCCTCTGCTTCTGCACTTACTATAGATCAGCTTGGGTGTGTGTGTGTGTGTGTGCCATTTCCAAATAACTGGGATCTCCAGTGTAGCTTGGATGATGATACTTGTTGGCTCACTGAACCTGCTTTCGGAAACTTCAGCATCATTTGTCAGACTTTATTTCAACAACAACAACAACAACAACAATAACAATAATTTAAACTTTCTCCACTCAGCCTTACTCTTGGCTGAGACTCAGGACACTCAGAACTCCCCGGAGGCCAAGAAGCTGTAATCTGCAAAATGGGTTGATGCAAGGGGTCGGCAGCTGGTGGGGCATCGGGGCCACTAGGAGAAGAGGAGGGCGGCTTTTTCCTGGGTGCACACTCTGTTCTCCTCCATCCTGCCTGACCCCCTTCGGAGCTCAGGCTCTGAAGCATCACCCAGCAGCCCTGGAGCGGAGAAAGAGGCGTATTGGGGCCATCACTCCGGAAAGCTCTGGCGTCGGAAGGGATGATCGCCCCGTGTGTGCGCGCGCGTGCCAGGAGCCCCCGCTGCAGCTCCGCGTGGCACTTCCGATCCCGGACGCAGCCTGCCGCAGTCCCGCCCCGCCCCCGGGCGCCGGCGCCCCCCGCCCCGACCCGCGCCCGGCCCCGCCCCGCCCGCTGTGCCCACCCCTGGCCCGCCCCGAGCCCCTAGCCCCGTCCCGCCGGGGTCCCCGCAGCCGGCGCTGGGCACCGGGGCGCTGGCACGTCGGCGGCTCCGCGGTCCCGCCCGCAGCTTAGCGGTCCGAGCCGGCAGTGGCACCGTGCAGGGGGCCCGGGAGCGGGAAGCTGCGAGGCCCGGAGAAGGCGGAGGCCCGAGGCCGGCGCTCGCAGGGGCGGCCCGGGTGCGCTTCAGCTTGGCCGGTACTCGGACGCCTGCTCGGCCCGCGTCGCCGCGCGCGCGCGCGCAGACACATGGCTCGGCTCCGAGCGCTGCTGTGCTGCCTGCTGCCCCTGTCCTGCGCGCTCAGCGCCGCCGCCGCGGGCAGCCAGGCCCCAGGTGCGTGAGGGTCGGGTGCACGGGGCCGCGTGGGGGCCGCGGGGTGCTGAGCCACCGGCACAAGGTTGGAGCATCTGATGGGAAGCGGTACGCGCCGTCGGAGCTGAGCTGTTCTTGCTTCTTCCCTTTGGTTTTCTCTCGCTTTCTATCACTATAGAGAGACCCCCCCCCCCCCCCCCCGGAGAGGCTGTGGGAGCATGGAGTCTCTTAGTGTCTGTCTGTTTGTCTGTCCCTCTGCTACCTCCGGTATGTCCTTCATTTTCGGTGTCTGTGGTCTCCAACATGGGCTCGCCCGTGTGGGAGCATGCGCTTGTGTATCTGGTTGCCTCACACTCGGTCGGGCTAGCAGGTGATTGCCATGCACACACACACTGCAGAGAACACTGGGCGCACACCCAGCCTCACAGAACCAGCTTTGCATCTTTGGTCCCCTCCAGCAGAATCTGCAGCAGCCTGGACCCAGCCAGGTGCAGGCCAGACTCACTGTCTCCCACCTTGAAGCATGCAGTTGATAGCGTGGGTAAGAGGAGAGTGAGCACTTGGTCACTGACTACCTTGGGAGTTTCAGGACACCGTTTTCTGTGTTTTATCAGCACCGGGAACTGGAGAGATGAGAGAGCTGTGTGGAAACGAAAATTCCTCCCAAAGTTGTATCCATGAATCACTAGGCTTGGAAGCCAGGGAGCTGTCATTCCTGCCTGGCCTGGCCTGGTGTAGGGAAAGCTGTGTGAGGATGAGGTGGCTGGCATGTGTCCTGGAGCATGAGGCCATGACCTCACACTTAATTCAACCCAAGTGGGCAGGTCACCTCCATGTCTCCTTTTATTTTTGAAGATCTATATTTATCCTGCTTGGAGCTGGGCCATGTCGAAAGCTTTGCAGCCACTATGCTGCTTTGAAAAAAGTTTTCTTTGTAACCTTGAGAATCTCTCTCTCTCACACACACACAAAGAGAGAGAGAGAGAGAGAGAGAGAGAGAGAGAGAGAGAGAGAGAGAGAGAGAGAGAGAGAGAGAGAACTGTGTATTCCTTCCCTTCCTCCTGCAGCCCCACCTTCCTCCTCGCCATGGACCAGGCTCCCCTGGGTTTCTAGGTGTGTTTGTTTTGGCAGTGTATTCTTAGAGCTTGGTGAGGAAGGCCCTACCCCTGTCTGATCTGGTGACTTCAGCTCACTGGGAGAGTTTGGGCAGATTGGGTCTTCCCTGCTCTTGCCCTGAAGGATTTCAGAGAATTTCAGCCCCTTCCTTGGCAATGCTCAGGGTTGGAAAGCTTGTTGCTAGAGTGATAAGGCTCTGTTTGGCATCGTTTGCTTTCTTCTGCTAAATATAAAAAGGACCTGAGGGCTACAGGGAGCAATGTTTAATGCCCCCACAAGTTGATAGCTCTCTGAGTATCGTTCTTCCAAGTGTAGAAATCCAGAGGCTCAGAAAGCAACCAGTGAAAGATGGAAGAACCTATGGGTGAAGGGGGTCCGTTGAAGTTGCCAAGTCCCAGCCCATCCTCATGGCAGTTCCAGCTTCCCTGTTACCTCTGCATGTGAAATGACCCTTTGTTTTCTTCTGACAGAGCCTCGCCTCTCTGGGAAGCTGAATGACTATGGTATGACTGTGCCCTGCAGTACAGATTTTCGGGGACACTTTCTTTCCCATGTGGTGTCTGGTCCCTCAGCAGCCTCCACAAGGAGTGTGGGTGTGGACCGGCCACCTCTTCCCTCATCGCACTCCAGTCACCGGGTGGCTCGAAGCCCCCTGCGCCCGGAAGGAGGGACCCGGCATCCTGGCAGGGCTGGGCATCACTTCCTCTACTTCAACGTGACTGTATTCGGGAAGGAGCTACATTTGCGCCTGCAGCCCAAGCGGAGGTTGGTGGTGCCTGGGGCCTCCGTGGAGTGGCAGGAGGATTTTCAGGAGGTTCTCCGGCAGCCCTTGCAGCAGGAGTGTGTGTACACTGGAGGTGTCACCGGAATGCCCGGGGCAGCTGTTGCCCTAAGCAACTGTGATGGATTGGTAAGAGACTCAGCTCATATTCTTATAAGCTGCCAGCCCTTCTTCCCACTGTCCCAGCTCAAATGGCAATCTCCTAGGTTCCTCTGAGTTTGGCAATCCTATGGGCATGGTATGTCATGGGGGCAAGCCTACCCCTGATCAGCCTGAGACATGACCCAGCCTGGAGAAATATCACACAGGACTGATTTATCTGGGTCAGGAAGTAAGTATCCAGTACAGCCTTTTTTTTTTTTTTTTTGGATAAATGAGGAGCATGAAACCCAGAGAGAGCAAGTGACCTCCTCAAAGTCACACAGCTAATGAGAACACGTATTAGGAGGCCACCAACGCCAGCGGTCTCATCCCAGACAGGCCCAGCCCAGGCTCTCCAATTAGCCCCACCTCCACCCCAATGTCCAGAGCACAACTTGTCTCCAACACCCTGTACCATGTGGCCACACCATCATCCTCACAGGATTTCTGCTCATGAGCCTTTTTGGTCCTGTTCCCTTGGGCATCTAGTGGACAATCACCAGGTGTCAGCAGATTCTTGAGCTGGTTCCATACCACAGGAGGTTCTCAGGAAGCTGCTTTAGTTGAGACATCTAGCCTACACTTACTGAACACCTCTGGCATGCCGCATGCCAAGAGGGAAGTTATACAAGTGCCTGTCCTCCAGGCCAAGGTGGCACCCCCTACCTGCCCTCCCCTGAGTCCATCATCTCATTAGTAGAGGCCTCCTCATTCCCAGCTCAGCCAGGGCAATGCCAGAGTTCTGGGAGAGCAGTGGCCACTTCTCACGGCCCTAAGAGCTTACCTTTGGATCAGGCATGCTACAGAAGCTCTGATGACTAGGTTCAACTCCATGCTTTGATAAGGTCTCTGGATTTTAACCTCATATCCAATGTCTACAAAATATGCACCGGGCAGCTCTTCAGACGGGAGGAACACAGGACCTATGTTGGAGCTAGTTCGGGAGGAGCTGTGGGATGCAGGGGTGAGATGCAGAAAGGGGACCCCATTTCTAATTGGGGCTGTACACTCCCAGACCACAGACCATCTCTACTTTCCTGGGTCCTGGGTCTCGAGGCCAGTGGAGGCTTAGCTATGCTACCTCCCTCCCCCCCACCCCCTATCCTTCAGTGCCTCTGTGAGTCAGGGCCTGGCAAGGAAGTGGTCACACGTGTAAGATTTGTCACATCTGGTTCTGTTTTCCACTCGGCAGATCCTGCCTTGTTAATGGGTTACTCTGAGTAGACCCTGGCAGACAGTGGGAGGGGGCAGGGAGGCAGAATCCCAGTCCTGTGAGGTCCAGGAAGCCCTCAGAGACACAGCTCTGCTATCTTTACAATGGGTCTGCAGTGACTGAAGAGTGAGTGCTCTTTCCCCTTTTCTTTGTCAGTGAAAATACTCAAAATCCATGATGGTGGTGGCTGCACAGCCGTATAGATCCTGAGCAGCAGTAAATGTGTACTTTAAGTGCTGGGTTGTACAGTGTGTGAACTGTTGCAGGAAGTGCCTGGCTATAGGAAGGCCCTGGAAAGGCATTGCTAGTTGTAGTTATGAGATGGTCTAGTCAGTGGAAAGTGTGGGATCTTCAACCCTAATGCCCACTGTCTGTGTGACCCTGAGTTAAGTTCCTAAATCTCTCTGGGCTTCAGTTTCTCATCTGTAAGGAAGGGAAGAAGAGAGCGGCAGTCTGTAGGAGGTTCAGAAGATTTAATGAGAACATGTGATGTGTCCCATTGATGGTGGGGCCTTGACAAATGAAGATTATTATTAATAGTAACATTAATTGACTAGTCATTACTATAGTAATCATTAATAATGACCAATGTGAGGAAGATCTCTAGAGTCTCTTGTGTTGACTTGACATGTAGATTATCAGCAGACGTCTGAGGTTAGCTGCCTCCTTCTGCATGGTGTCCTCTGCCAGTGCTAGGGAATTCCTGTACCTTCCTGGGCAGGATTGTGCTGAGAAGAGTTCACTGGAACATTCTACTGACCATATATGTGTCCTTGCCTCATGGCTAGGCCCTTGACTAGGGACTGCAGGGGTGAAAGTCAGCCCTCTTTTCCTGGGTCAGGAAGTGTACCTAGTATTACTATAGTGTAACAAGAAGGTAGAGGTGGGGTACTGGTGGCTCACTCCTGTAATGCCAGCTACTCAGGAGGCTGAGATCTAAGGATCTCAAAGCCAGCTGGGGCAGGAAAGTCTGTGAGACTCTTATCTCTAGTTGACTGCCACAAGCCAGAAGTAGAGGTATAGCTTCAGTGGTAGAACACCAGCTTTGTGCAAAAGGCTAAGGGACAACATCCAGGCCATGAGTTCAGGTACCAATACTACACTCCCGCTTTCCCCCAAAAGGCCAAATATCATGGGTTCTCACTAATTTGTAGAATACGCACCTACAATGATGATGATGGGACTTAAGTGTAAATGGGAGATAATCTGGGGGAGGGGTCAACCAGAGAGAAGAAGAGGAAAGGATACTGAGGGGTGAAGAGGTCTATGTAAAGACAGTATAATTAAACCTACTAGACACTATGTGTATAGAATTACCACAACTCCTCATATTACTAACATGCTAATTCAGAAAATATAGTAAAATAATCAGAGGTTTAGCTGAGTCCCTGCAGTGCGTTTATAAGGTCGCAATAAAGGCCCCACTTTCAACCAGGTCTGGTGGTAATTTGGTTTCAGTATATCAACATGGCAGGTAGGAACTCACTTTGCTCCTAGCAGTGAAGCCCTCTGTGCTAGGAGTGAGAGGGTGACCCCAGAACCACTTGGGTTGAAATCCCAGCTCTGCCATGTGCATGCGGTATGACCTTGAGCAGCTACGTCACCACTCTGTGCCGCAACGTGGGAACACTAAAAATCATCCCTTCATAGAGCGGTCAGTGGGTAAAGGGCCACATAGTACTAGTGACATGTCAACTGTGGCTATGAGAGGTGGGGCCTCAGTGATAAGTCCATGGGGTCTGAGGAAGTTGGCAAAAAGAAGGAAATGCAGAGCATCTCATTTGTCTAGCTGTTATACCAGAGGGGCCTTTGGGTCCTCCGCCAGATAGGCAGAGCCCATGCCAGTCCCAGCCTTGCCAGGCCTGGGTGCAGCTTGCTGTTCACCCACAATGGGTATGTGAGGGAACCTGTCAGCCTCTCACTTGAGTCCATCCCTTGAACCTATACCTGCCCAAATGCACTAACTTTCCCCTTGTGTGACAGCCTTCTGGCCGTGAGTGAGCGCCTGGAGCCGCAGGCTAGAGTCAGCATGGGACTGTTTGGCCCTTGCCAGATCCTGAAATGCAGGCAGCAAGGCTTCCCTGGGGAAGGAAGGCAGCATGGGCACATGAGTGAGTCAGTCATCCACTGCTGAGTAACAAAACATCCCAGAATGGAGGGACTTAAGCAGCACTCTGTGTCATTCCTCACAGTTCTGTAGATTGCTGGGCAGTCCCTCTCTTGGTTACTTTTGAGCTTTCTCTTAAAGGGTGGGCTAGAGGGTCCCAGCTGGCCTTATTCACATGGGGGTATGATATTGGCTATAAGCTTAGTGGCCTCAGTCCTCTCCCTGCCCAAGGCTCTCTTCCTCCATGAGCCACCATTGCCATAGTCCCTGGGCAACATTCCAAGAAGGGGAAGGCAAAAGCTGTACAACCCCTTAAGGCCTAGCTTCAGAAGTTGCTTGGTATTACTGCTGCACATTCTATTGGCTGAAGAGAGCCCTGGGCCCAGTGTGGGGACATGGATTTCACTGCTTGAGGGGAAGAGCAGCAAAATCTTACTGCAAAGTGACAGTTCATAGGGGCAGGAGGGGCTGTTGTAGCCTTCTTTGTAAACATACCTCCATATTGTCATTCCTGCACAGCGATGAGGCCTGTCTGAGCCTCAGCCCTGCCTTTAGTATACAGATATTAGTCTCTGAAGTGCCAGGGACAAGAGATGGAAACATGTACTGTCACTGTAACAACACTATGGTGGGATGCACAGAAGTTTTCTTGTAGGCCCACCCCAGGGCTCTTGCTCCTGCTCCCCAGATGGCCGATTGACCTGGCTGTGGCCTGTGTGAGTGCAGCCCAGGGGTGAGTGCTGGGAGATCAGTCAGTCCTTGAGGCTGTCCGGTCTTCCAGACTTGACTCCCTGTCTCCTCGTGGCTGTGCCTTGCTGTCTGCCCTGGATTAATAACTTATTTATGATATGGAATAAAAGCCAGACATCACCTCACTGCTGCTGCTGCTCTGAAACAGAGTGGCTTTTCCTTCCAATGAGGGCTGGTTGGATTTTTCTTCCTCCAGCAGTGACTGAGGCTACTTGGAGAATTGGGGCTGGGACATATGGAAGATGGAGTTTGCCCACCTGCCTCCCAGTGAGTCCTCAGGAGTCCCAGCCCCCCAGGCCCCTTGCAGCCTGGAGCTTCTGTGACAGCCCCCTGTGTCTTTCGCTGGCTCCCATCATGTATATACCATGTGGTGGGTCTCAGTGCAGCATGGTTCCCATCCTCTACCCTAGCCTTGGCCTGAGGTGGAGGTAGCTGTGGTGGGAAGAGGTCCAGCCGAGATCACCAAAGCTCAGGAAAGGGAAGAGACTCACCTAGCAGCCAAACATTCTTTTTCCCACCATTTTTTTGGCCTGTGCCAAGACGATGGACGAGGACAGTCTATGTGACTTTAGACCATAAACCATATGAGGTTCAATGACAGGGTAGCTATGGCAACAGCCTCAGGGTGATGGATGCTATAAGAGATTGTTCCCTGGGATCCCTGAGCCTGGTAGGGTACTGAAGGAGGTGTTTATGTGGTTCTCACTGCTGGGGGGGGGGGGGCTGTCCAACTTCTCTGTGTCTCACTGTCTTCCCTAAAAAGAGGAGGCTGACTAAGAACACACATGGCAACGGGCCAGTTGGTAGGAGTTGATGCTCAAGTGGAACCTTCTGGTGTGATTATTTTTTGTCCCATAGTCACTATGGCTTCTGTTTTCTTTGTTTTCAAAATATTGGAGGGGCGGTGGGCTGCTCTTG